AATTTCTTTTCTGTATCTCAATTCCACGGAAATATGGTTAATATTTTTCTATAGATTATATTACTCTGTACAAACGTGAGCCGTGTTCATCATCCACCGTGAGGATACCGGCTAATGTGATGTGAACACCTCATTAATAAGCTAACGACTCTATCCGGCAACACCACGATGATCAACATTTTTTACGATTACGATTACCTTAGCATCGATTGAACTTTGGACTTGAGTAGCGAGTTATAATTTATAGCTGTTCAATTTAATTTATGTTACTTTGCAAATAATAAAGAACCTCGGAGCCTTGTGGCTCATCAGCCGAAATTTAAAGTTTCGCACATACTCACTATCGACTTTTCTGGCGCTTTTTACTTTTTTGACGAACACAGTCAACTGCAACTGCAGCTTGCANTTGAAATTTAAAGTTTCGCACATAAAATTGGTGGCCCATGAGGGGATTCTGCAAGAACATCAACAACAGCAAGTGGATTGCAAGCCAGCGAATTAACTACATTCAACTGAAGGACGTGTTACAACGGCAGCACTTTTCACAAGTTATCTAAACGGTAAGTGTGTATTTAGTGGCAAGTCAACAAGTCAATATGAGCGTACAGGAATCGGTAGATAAATACTCGAGCGAAGACGCACCAAGTTTGATTGCGTTACAAATCGATCGAATTGACACGCTAAAACAGGTCTTAAAAAATTTTAGAAAGGATTCAGCAACACGTAAGACCAAGTCGTATTTCGAACATCGATTAAATAACCTTCAGGAACTTCGCTCTAGTTTCAAAGCTACTCACGAGCATATCGTACGTTGTTTGATTAGTAAGGACGACGAGTATTTCAAAGCCTCGTTGAGCGCAGTTTTCGACGAGTTATATTTAGACACTTATTGTACTATCAAAGATACAAGCGATGAGAAGTATCCAGCATCTACTGCACCAGTTAATTCAGGTAATCCGGTCATCCCTGTTAATGTATCGCCAGTGAAGTTACCACAGTTGCCGATACCTACATTTTCCGGCAAGTTCACGGACTGGCCTGCCTTCCACGATGCATTAAGTCGTCTTATTCATTCTAACAAGGATTTAGATGAGGTGCAAAAATTTCACTTTCTAAAAAGGGCTCTTCCTACAGATTCCGACTGTGACATACAACAGATGCCCCTCACCTCAACAAACTACACAATAGCATGGAGTCTTTGTGAAAAACGATACAATAATCCCAGGATTCTCTTTATGCACTGTATGAACTCTATATACAGTCTACCTAGTATTGGAAAGGAACGAGCCGCAGATATAAAGTCGTTATTAAACGCAGCTAAGGTTTGCGTGAATGAGTGTAACCGTCTTAAAGTTCCTATAAATGGATGCGATCATTGGCTTGCTTACTTTCTTTCTACAAAACTTCCAAATGAGACGCGAAAGGCTTGGGAACTAGCACTCGGAAGTAAATCTGAAATCCCAACATTTGCAGACTTAGAACAGTTTTTAAATAATCGTTTAGTATTAATAGATGTTTTCGAGAGTCGTGACATTCACGAAAACCTATCTCATTCAGCGACGGAAAAGGTTCCTAAAGCAAGCAAATTTACGCGCAAATCACATCACTCATCGGTCAAAACAAGTGGTTGCATTTTATGTAGCGAGTCTCATGTGATACGTAAATGCCCTAAATTCCTTGATCAGGACTGTTTTGAGCGAAAAAATATAGTTAGTCAACACAAGCTGTGTTTAAACTGCTTGAGTAAAGGGCACTCTAGTTCACAGTGCACCAGCACGCAGAATTGTCATCAATGTGGCCAACGCCACCATACCTTGCTTCATTTTCCGTCGTCTTCGTTCGTACGCCCTGGAGGGATACCTAATGTCTCTGCCGCGCCCTTCCTACCGCCGGCAAATCATTGTTCAGCATTGACAAACACACACTCTTCCAACCACACTCGCAAGGAAATCTTGAAGAGAGACGGGACACCTTCACTTCAGTCAAATTTATCTAAGGGTGGTGGGACAGTGTTACTTGCTACCGCTCTTGTATCTGTTCACAATGGAGACCCGGGTCAATCAAACACTTTGCGTGCTTTGGTGGATCAGGGTTCGGAATGCACTCTAATTTCGGAACGGGCAACTCAACGTCTTAGTCTCAAACGAACTCGAGCATTTGCTGACATTACCGGCCTTGGTCATAACGCTTCTAACCGATCACGATTCACGGTACAATTACATATCCGATCATGCATCGATCCTCAACAGACCTTCACAATCGACCAAGCGTATGTTTTACCGTCTCTTACTGATTTTATACCGGGGCAGCGCATAAACCCACAATCCTGGCCCCATTTACAGGGCCTCGAATTAGCGGACCCTCATTACTATGAGCCGTCAAAAATAGACCTCATATTAGGAGCTGATGTTTATAGCCAGTTTATTCTTCCTGAGATTCGCATTGGGGAACCGACTCAGCCCATCGCTCAACGCACCAGTTTAGGTTGGGTACTCTTGGGAAAAGTCAGCAATCAATCTTCATCCACGTTTTCATCTAATCGTACCACGATTAGGTGTCATCACTCGTCTTTGGAATTGGCATCAATAGTCCAGCACTACTTCGAACAAGATCAAATACCACAAGATGATAATCTTACCTCAGAAGAGCAATGGTGTGAAATGTTCTTTAAGCAAACTCACCAGCGTCAACCAGAGGGAAGATACGTAGTTCGCCTGCCATTAAAATCCTATTTCGACCCTTCTCAAACCTTGGGAAGATCTCGTCAAATTGCATTGAACCGGTATCACAGACTTGAGCGAAAATTAGACGGCAAGCCTCAGCTTCGCGAAAGGTATGCTGAAGTCATGCAAGAATATTTTGATCTGGGTCAAATAAGCCCGGTCAAATCGACGGAAAAACAGCACTCAATAGTCAACGCATTCCATCAACCTACAAATACTTCGTGTGTGCTTCCTCATCATGCGGTTTTTAAGGAGGAAAGCACGTCGACAAAACTAAGGATTGTCTTCGATGCCTCTTGCAAAACATCAAATGGGAGATCCCTAAATGATTTGCTCTGTGTGGGACCGCCTCTTCAAAATGAGTTGCCTGCGGTAATTCTCAATTGGCGAATGCATAAATTTGTGTTTACAGCGGACATACAAAAAATGTATCGCTGCATTAACATGCACCCTGAAGATGCACAATACCAAAGAATTTTATGGAGAGACCAGAATCGCGAGGTGCAAGAGTACTGTCTTACTACTGTAACCTTCGGTACGGCATCAGCACCGTATACAGCCATTAGAGTCCTTCATCAACTCGCGGAGGATGAGCGATCGCGTTATCCTCTCGCTGAACATATTCTAAAATCGGAAACATATGTAGATGACGTGCTTTCTGGCAGCCATTCTATTCCCCTGGCAATATAATTACGCAATCAGGTAAACGCGGCCTTACACTCAGCAGGGATGAATTTAAGAAAATGGAGTAGCAACGTTTCAGAGCTACTTGAAGATATCGATCCCAATCATCTTTCCAATACGGAGCTCATGAATTTCAATACCAAAATTTGCATTAAAACCCTTGGCATGATTTGGGTTCCACGTCATGATGTCTTCACATTTCGACTAAATCTTCCATTGGATAGCTCGCCCACAAAGAGAGGCGCACTATCTACAATCGCACGCTTATTTGACCCTTTGGGACTTATCACGCCTATTTTAGTGTGTGGTAAACTGATTCTAAAAAATATATGGCAAACGAAAGTAGCTACTGATCAGGCAACCAATTCCGTAGATTGGGATGACCCCCTACCCCAAGCTACACAGAAACAATTGCAGCTTTTTTACGCCGATTTGAAACAACTCGGTATATTGTCTATACCTCGCTGGACGGGATTTCATCCAAATGAAGTTACCTCGTTGCAACTCCATACATTTTGTGACGGTTCGTCTAAAGCTTATGCGGCTGCAGTATACCTTAGGTTACGATACTCAAATGGAAAGGTCTCTACAAATTTAGTTGTTGCAAAGGGTCGAGTGACACCGATCAAGCCACTTAGCATCCCCAGAGTGGAACTCTGCGGCGCAGTGTTGGCGGCACAACTTGGAAATTGGGTACACAAAAGGTTACACACAAATTTACACATTACAATGCACTACTGGACTGATGCGGAAATAGTTCTACATTGGATTCGAGGAGGACCAAGCAGATGGAAGGTATATGTCTCTAATCGGATTGCAAAAATTCTACAAACTAGCGATGCAGGTCAGTGGGGTTATGTAAACACGCTTGACAATCCAGCTGATTGTGGAACACGTGGAATCGGCGTTACACAACTTGCGAAATCCGATCTGTGGTGGAAGGGCCCATCGTGGTTGGCAAAGAACGAAGGTACTTGGCCTAAGTTCCGGCCAGTCAACACAGTCAGTAACACAGACAGCGAAGAAGTATCTCGTCCACCGCAATCCAACGTAGCTCGGGTCGATACAGACGCTATAATATATCGGTATTCTTCGTTAGGAAAGCTTCAACGGGTCATCGCATATGTGTTGCGTTTCGCCAGAAATGCACGGAGTGGTAATCCTATGAACCGCGAGGTCAAGCAGTTAACGGTACAAGAGTTGAAACACAGTTTAACACTTGTCATCAAACTTGTTCAGCAGGACGAATTTAGCCCGGAAATCAAGGATATATTGGCAAAGAGGTCCATTTCTTCATCCAGTCGTCTTCGCAGCCTCACCCCATGGCTGGACGCTGACAATATTCGACGTATACGAGGAAGGTTGTCTCAAACTAAATTACCATTCGGACAAAAACATCCGATAATTTTACCCAAAGGCCATTTTGTCACTAATTTAATCATTAAACAAGCTCATTGTGTAACTCTCCATGGAGGAGTTCAACTGACACTCACTTACCTGCGCCAACAATATTGGATCATAAATGGCAGAAGCGCTGTCCAACAAGTATTGAGGCACTGCATAAAATGTTTTCGAAACAATCCAGAGGTGGCACATCAATTATTGGGAGACTTACCATACCCTCGAGTGAACCCTCCAAACAAACCATTTCTTGCAACAGGCATAGACTATGCCGGTCCTATCGAACTCAAGGCATCCAAATTTCGGGGCCACGCGTCTTACAAGGGATTTATCGCCATTTTTATATGTATGGCAACCAAGGCTATTCACCTTGAAGCCGTCACCGGGTTAACGACCGAACACTTTTACCTAGCATTGCAGCGTTTTCTCGGACGTCGCGGGATCTGTAAGGATATTTATAGTGACTGTGGGACGAATTTTGTCGGAGCACACAAGGTTCTGCTATTAAACCAACATAAGTTCGCCGACGACGTCGAAAGGGAAATCGTGCCCAAGCTTACAGCTCAAAATATCCAATGGCATTTTAATCCACCGCACTCACCAAATTTCGGTGGTATTTGGGAGGTCAACGTGAAGGCCATTAAATATCATTTACGGCGCACGGTAAACAGCAAACTTACTTATGAAGAGCTATCCACAGTTCTCGTCCGCATAGAAGCGTGTCTAAATTCAAGACCTCTCTGTCCATTAACATCGGATCCAGAAGATTTAACGGTATTGACACCAGCACATTTTATCACAGGAGACTCACTTCTAGCAATTCCTGGTGACCACGATGTTAAAATGTCACTGAGCAACCAATATATTGAAATGCAGAAGATGGTACACGGTTTTTGGAACAGGTGGACATCGGATTGGCTGTCCCATCTCCAGTCACGTCCAAAGTGGCGAAATGAAACACCTAATATTGCGGTTAACGAACTAGTAATAGTTAAAGATGAGCGATTTCCTCCAAATACCTGGCATTTAGGACGAGTCATTGAGGCACATCCCGGCAAGGACAATCTCGTTCGAGTAGTCAGCGTCAAAACATCCCAGGGCATCTATAAGCGGTCAGTTTCAAAACTCTGCCGCCTGCCGATTCCTAATAGCTCTAATTCATGTTAACACGCCAACATACACACTACCGACTTTAAGTTCTTTCGGAGAAGTTTACGTATAAGGTTAGGGATAACACTCACGCCTCAGCAGTATAATCATGCTAGATCTAGCATCAGGGGCGGCATGTACAAACGTGAGCCGTGTTCATCATCCACCGTGAGGATACCGGCTAATGTATGCACATCGTTACGTGTGAACACCTCATTAATAAGCTAACGACTCTATCCGGCAACACCACGATGATCAACATTTTTTACGATTACCATTACCTTAGCATCGATTGAACTTTGGACTTGAGTAGCGAGTTATAATTTATAGCTGTTCAATTTAATTTATGTTACTTTGCAAATAATAAAGAACCTCGGAGCCTTGTGGCTCATCAGCCGAAATTTAAAGTTTCGCACATACTCACTATCGACTTTTCTGGCGCTTTTTACTTTTTTGACGAACACAGAGCGAAACATCAGCATGGCTTCCGTAAAGTGCACAGCACAACCATTAACGCCATAAACACCCAGATAACTCGTGGCCTAAATCGAAACCGCCCCTGTGAGAGAACTTTCCTAGTAGCGCTGGACTTGTCAAAGGCGTTTGACACCGTCTGCCATTCCACGCTGCTAGAAGACATTGAGGCCTCCTCTCTCCCACAGGGACTGAAGCGATGGTCGGCGAATTATATGAGTGGTCGACAATCATCAGTAATCTTCAGAGATCAAACCTCGAAACCAAGAAGAATTAAGCAAGGGGTTCCACAAGGTGGTGTTCTCTGCCCCTTACTTTTTAACTTCTATATCTCGAAACTCCCCCAGCCACCTGAAGGAGTTTCCCTGATCTCGTACGCTGATGATTGTTCGATTTTGGCGTCCGGGAATGGAATTGATGACCTCTGCTCAAAAGTAAACGACTATTTCTCCAGCCTTTCTCGCTTCTTCACTGCAAGGAGCCTAACCCTCTCCCAACGAAATCAACGGCGACCCTCTTCACCACCTGGACGAAGGAGGTCAGGCTTGAATTAGGCATTCACGTCGACGGCACACCCATACCGACGGTGAACAACCCGAAAATTCTAGGGGTTACCTTTGATAGCCTGCTCTCTTTCTCCGCGCACACAACCGCAGTTGTCAACAAAGTACACAGCCGCAACAAGGTCCTCAAGTCGCTCGCCGGCAGCACTTGGGGCAAAGACAAAGAAACGTTGCTGGCAAAATACAAGGCAATTGGCCGGCCGGTTCTAAATTATGCTGCGCCAGTTTGGTCGCCGGGGACTAGTTGGACGCAGTGGATGAAGCTACAGACTTGTCAGAACGCCGCACTCCGGACAGCGACTGGGTGCCTTCTGATGACGCCTGAGCATCACCTACACAGTGAGGCCCAAGTGCTCCCCGTAAGGGAACACAACAAGATGCTCTGTAAGCAGTTTCTTGTGGGGTGTCACAGAAGTGAACACCCCAACAGACCACTGCTGGAGGAGGAGCCTCCGCCCAGGCACGTCAGAGGGCACCTATTCATGTACAAGGACGCAGTCCAGACCCACACAGACCAACCACTGGACCCAATGACGTACAGACGAGCGATCAACGACATTCATAGGGAGTCTGTCTCCACCTACCTCGACTTCCGGCCTAGGAATGTCGTTATCGGAGCCCAATCACCACCTGTGGAAGAGACGGAGCTTCAGTTACCTAGAGAGACCCGCGTTACCCTGGCTCAGTTACGGTCTGGATATTGTAGGCCGTTTCCTGGGCCTACCGTTAGTTGAGCTTGACGATAATGATTAAAAGTTGACCCGAAACAGGCGGGGCTTAGTAGTGCCGCTACAACAACAATAACAGCTATATATTAAACTAAAGTGCAAGCTGCAGTTGCAGTTGA